TATTTTAAAAACGTATAATAGGAAAGCTTGAAAGTTTCTGATTTATTGTAGCAGACATTCTTCTTTACAATGATCACAAATAACGAGCATTGTTATATTTAAAAGGACCGTTACAAATTACAGCAAGGATAAATTAAGGGGAACCTAGCTCTGGTAAGCACGACGTGAATAACGAAGTTGCCTGACCTAAATGAGACTGAAACGTTCCACGCAAGGCGGTCGGGGGAAAGCTTATGCATAATATATAAAATAAAAGGAAACATCACCTGATAATGCTGAGAGGATCCCTGATTGCGACCCTGATACTGATAATTACGGCAACTAGGAGACGCTGCTGTTGACTGGCTGCCTATCAGCGATCCTCGGGGCAAACCCAGTCCGAATAAATCCGAAATTGACATGTCTCCTGGTGTGACGGGGGAAAAGAAAATTCGTTCGATATTTTAAATAAAATCAGAGAAATATGCGACGCGACGCCGCGAGGACTATCGACTAACAAACGACGAGCGCGCACGCTCGTTAGTTTTCAAACGACCAAGCAGGCGATTAGAACAAATTTGCCCCGTCGTCATTCATCGGGTGTCGTTAAAAAAAAAAGAAGAAGAAGAACAATACAATTCGTAATGTACATCTTTGTATCATAGACATGTATAGTTATAATTTACGAAAATGACATGCATGCGAAGACGACAGAAAAATGCATGCAATTATATATAGATATATCTAGATGATACAGTTAAAAAAATAAAAATAACGTTTTACTAAACTTTTCTTGCTTAGTGCTTTAACCCTTTTGCTACTAATTGCAAGAACAGTCATAGTCATCCATCATAAAATTATCTCTGGACGCTATGTAACAAGAGGACAGAGGCCACAGCAATAGGATCATTGACATCGATTTTGCCAGACAAATCTAAAATCAAATTGTCTTACATCACTACGATAAATAAAGTAACATATTAAAAACCCTCAATTATATTCATACTACCTGGGACCCTTTCTTTCTTTTTTTTTTTAACCAGAAATCCGCCATAGCAAAAGGGTTAACGGGCAATCTACGAATCTAACAAAAAAAAAGAAAAGAAAAAGAACAAAACAGAAAAAAAAACAAGACAAAGAAGACATCACATGACCATAAAGGATTGATACAAGAGAAACGAACTTTTACCATCGATGTTACTCTTGTTGGGTTGCACGCAAGGAGGAGCGTCATGCGAGTACCCTTGGAAGCTGGCCGGCGGCGGCAGGTCTAACAGTAAGTTGCTGATAGACTGCAACTGATGCAAATGCTCCCGTTCACGGTCGCGATCGCGTTGCTGCTGCAACTTGTCGCGATGCAACTGCTCCCGATCGCGTTGTTGCAGTTGCATGTGGTCCTGGTCGCGTGACGCTTGCAGCTGCAAGCCGTGCGACGCCTCATTGTTTCGACTGTCCGTTACTGTCACTCCGTCGATGTCTATCTGCAAAAGAAGAAAAAAAAACGAGAATCGTTAAGAAAAGCGTAAATCGAAAGCTCGAAATATGGTTGTTTCTTATTACACGATCACCGCTTCCGTACGTTCGGTGTCACGATAACAACGTATGTATTATGTTACAGGAGAAAGATAACCGAGGAACAATCTTACCATTTTTTGCGTAGTAGCATCGATTCTAATTATTTCGTCGAGAGTATTTCGACTTTTGGGTATGAAAAATACGATAAATCGATAAAAGATCACGATTAATTTTTACGATGGCAATTAACTGTATAGCGTGCACGTAAATAGACGCCGCAGGAAGTAACGACGCTACACGGAATGTTTGACTCGGTCTAAATGTAAATTGTTGTATGTTTGAATGTTAAAGGAAAAATTGTAAAAATTTGTGATTCTATTTTTCTGTTGATCCGTGAATCCTTTAATCGCACGTAATTGGGCAAACGAATATTTGAACGAATCGTTCCGTTTGTTACGCCAACTGATTTTCTTTGCGCAATTTCCGGTAAACGCGATGAAATTTCAGAAGTTGCACCTTACGTCGGAAGACACGCTGCACGGACAATTTAAATGATTCCGAATGCTAAATTGTTTCGTCCACGGTTGAAAATTGTGAAATTTAACGCGCATATCACCTACCATTAAATTCCTCGAAGTCATCACTACGAACGATACCAGCGGACTATGCTTCGAGCTTTCAGTACAGAATAACGAAAACAGGAGCCTGAAGGACGCCACTCCCAGTTCGCGTTCGTGGAATTCGGAAAAAAAATTTTGCAGGGCCGGGGAAGATATTGAGGCATTCTAAAGGCGTTCAACAAGAATTCCAAACTTCGTAGAATTCAACGCTGTCAAGTTCAAAGTCGCACGAAATGTAAGGACGCTTACAATCAACGCAAATAATTACCATTCCATGGCTACATCGTTTCAAATTGTAACATTTTTCCAGAGCCCTTAGAGTTTTGCAACCCTTTGGCTCATCGAATTACTTCGAGGCTTGCACCGATATCGATTGTTCTTACGAAAGTCGTCGGATGTATGACTGGAGATTCTATATACATGTATATGTTAGCAGAAATAGGTGAAACCTAGATTTCATGAAATTTCCAGTTAGAGATACATATATCCCGTCCGAATTACACGATTGAATTACAATATTTTAAGAACTATATGTTAAAAGGAGAATATGATATTATCGTATAAATTTCTAGTAAATCTTGTACGACATTACCGGTACTTTTGTATAAAAACTGTCCACTTAATATATTACGTTTTTAATTCACTAATGCATCGACTAGAGTAACGTACATTTTACTTTCATCGGGTCTGTACTATGTTTCTAAGTTGTATCGTATATATCCATAGAATTTGAAGGTATTAGATAATATTTGCGACGAATTCGATCGCAACAAGTTCTTCTTTATCTTCACTTAAGACCTAACCAACAACTAATGAAGGGTTAAGGGCGATTTCAGGGGTGCAACATACTTATATAGATAAAGGGCAAGTCTATCAGCGTATGAAACGCAACGTGTTTTGCACGTGGACGCGTTGCGGCTCAACGTACGATTCGCGTGTTTGTTTACAAGTGAGGACGCAGGACATTCCTTCGTATTCGGTTTCACACTCTAAATTCGACGTTATAATTATCACTGTGTACCGACATGATTTACATGGCAAATTCCCCTTTCGGGACGACATCATGCCGCTAACGAAATTCTAAAGTAGGTTACGAATCGACCGCACGAGAAGTCAAAAAACGAGGTCCATAGAAAAATGATGCGTAATCAAGGCATTTACATAGAAATAGATAAAGCAGAAATTATTATTGAAGGATAGGAAAAAGTATTGAATTTCTATGAAAGAATAACGACTTACCGATTGCATTAACGTAGGCATGTCGATCTTCAATTGAATCTGACCGAGCTTTTCAATTGTTCCGATCGTGGTTCTCCACTGAATCCAACGTGGTAACTTCGTAACGTGGTTCCGATGTATTATAAATTTGATATTACGCAAATGTCTTCAACAGAGCTTTTTTCGATCTTAACGAATGCAAAGAATTAAATACGCGAATTTAATAAATTAGTGAATCAACAATTATCGTGTTATATTAAAAGTTTGGAATAATTTGATCCCACCGGGTTTTTAATCATTCACCGGGGGATAAGATTTTAATTATTTCAACTCCCAGAATCGCCCATTTATAATTAGTTCGTTGGTTCTTTGAAAGTAAAATTTATTTCTCCTTGTGTTCCGATTTAATGTCGATACAGCAACGATGGAGACGGAACGCCCATTCTTCTCCACATTGCTCCACTCTGCGAACTGAATTGAAGATCTGTCCCTCCCTCTCCCTCTTTCACTACCGAGTTCCATCTTCGGTGAACGCCGGCGCGGTTCGCGAACGCGCCCTTGTAGAATTTCGTATATCGAACAAAACATAATTTGCAAGATTTTATGAACTTTATACATTATATAACGATCTAAAAAAATATGTAATTCTCATTTTATTTTACTCTTTCCAATAATATCAATTAGACTGTAAATATAATAATGCATTGTTTTTAAAGAAACTTAAATATTTATGATACAGTACAAACTATTGTTACATATATTTCTTTTTAAAATAATACAATAGATTGTGAATGCAAACATTAATTATTGTCATATACATAACTACATGTAACATCAGTGTAGAAAATTAATAAAATACGCGATGAAGGAAAATTATTTAAATAAATGAAATGTTTGAAGCAAGATAATTGCTTTATTACATAGATAAAGATCCATTTATTGTATACAAAAATTTGCGCATTTTATTTTATATGTGTAGTCGACGAATCCAACATTTCAACTTCAGCACTAATATCACTAGAATAATTTACTACCACATCTCGTGGATTGCGTTCCACTTTATCAGAACTATTGTCTTCAACTTTACTAGAATCTTCTCCCCATCCAGAAAATAAATTTACTCTTAATTTATCAATATCTTGGCTTCCCGAGCCAGCTATATTGTTTGCATTCTCTAATGTTTCTGTGCTGTCTGTCTCTTGATGTCTAACTTCAGGAAACTTATATTTTGGAATATCGATAGGTGCATCTAATAAGAAATGTTTACAATTAGATGTAATATGATTATTTGAAAGAACATAGTAAAAATATCATTTTTTTTTGTTGTACCAGGATATGGGGGTGATTCTTCTATAAGTTGTTCCATAACATAAGTCAACATAGTTGTCGTAAAGGTGTCGTCTCTTCTAAGACCAAGTGCTCTGTGAAAAGCATCAACAGCTTCCTGTGTATTTCCCATCAATGCATGAATGAAACCCACTGCCGAATACGTTGAAGGATTTAACGGATTTAATACCAATGCCTGTAATTATCGTAAACAATGTTATGCAGTACATATAATTTTCGACAGAAATATGCTTTTACTTAAATTTATGGCTTTTAACCTGTTGATGATATTCTAAAGCCTCTTCATATTTTTTCATTTTCCTACAGGTATGACCCAAGTTATTCAGAAGTGCCTCCCATTTACTAGATAGAGTAACATCTTTTAGGCCATCTTGAATTCTTTTCATAGCTTCTTTAAACTGCCGTTCAGCAGTTTTGTAACTGTATTCCATGAAACGACAACTCTTGGTAAATTAGGCAGATTTCCAAAAACCGTGGAAGGGTGGAAGAACGCTAATCAGGTTGTAGAGTGAATTTTCAACCTCTCTTTTGTATGTTGGAATATCTCAATCTCAGGGATAATATTAAAGTAAAAGTCAACATACTTACTCTAAATTATAAAACGATACAACTCCCATTTCGTGTATAACAAATGGGTCGTTTGGAGCTATTGCTTGAGCCTGTTGGAAAAACTTGTCAGCCAATTTATGATTATTTGTTAAGCCACATTCAAGTCCAATATACAAAAGTGGCAGGTGACAACCTTTCATTAACTGAGTAGCTTTAAAATAAGCAGCTGTTGCCTGATCGTGTTCATTTTCTACTGCAAAGGAATGACCATAAGCTAACCAAGCAGGACCAAATAATCTGTCTAATGCTGTAGCTTTTGCTAAATATCTTCGTGCTGGATCGCTTTTTCCTATTATAAAAATAATATAATTTTTATCATATGATAATGGAAAAATGATTCAATACAATTATTTCATTAAAATTATAATTACCTATACTATAATAATAACATCCAACTGCAAACCAAGCTAAGGCCATGTCAGGATATAAGTCAACTAGCTTATGTGCCAAATAAAATAAAGCTGAAAAATTATTTGATCATATATAAAATTGCTATATACATATTTCATTTTTTATTAAAATATAATATATTTACCATTAGTCTTTTTTAGTTCCACTAAACAGGCAATATGTACTGGTAAACACGAATTATGATATGGATCTTTTTTTAATATTCTAAAGTGTAAAATGTTAAAAATTATACAGTTGTACATATATGTGTAAAAATGTATATAAATTCAGAAATTACCTTTCTGTGAGTGAGAAGCATTTGTGATAATCACAATTGTAATATAGTCTCTCTGCTTCTGCAACTTCCATATCCAAGTTACCTAGTAGCCTATCTGTGACAAGAACTCCCATCACACTACAGGTTGCAAGTGCTTGTTTTTTATTTGGTTCCTGATATTTCTTTAGTTTACTTTCATATAATAACCGTAAAAGTTCTGCTTCACCTTCTGTACATTGTTCACTAAATGGAAGAGACTCCAAAAGTTCTCTTTCTATTAAAATTACATGGATCATAAAATTACTTGTATCTGCTTACACATTCTGTTTATATACATTTTCATACCTTCAGCAGCTGAAAGCATTTGATTCTGAACTAATGCTTCAAATGCCTGATATGAATACACATCACAATGCAAAGCTTGTTTATAACAATCAGTTGCTACTACTCTGTGATCCATAGCTTCATATACCCGTCCTTTCACATACAATATTGAACTTTGTACCTATTATAGGATAGAAACTAGTTAATACAGCTTTATGAAATCATAAATATTACACTTAAGAAAACTATGCACAGTTATTTATACTTAATCACATTTTTTGGAGCATCTTCCAATATATCTGTACGATCTCCAAAACCTGATTGGGTTACATTTGTACATATTTCTGATTCATTAATGACCTGAAGTGCTTCACTATATTCTTTTGCTTCTAAAAGACTTCTTACTGTTAAATAGTGGCACATTACATTTGTCTATAAAGTAATATTAGTATAATTCAGAAAGATATGTATAACAATTTTGCAATGTTAATAAAAGTTATGCTGAATTTTACCTTCTCCAATCCACGACTTCTAATAAGGTGGGCAGCTCTGTGATATTGTTTCATTAGATACATACAATGAGCTAGGGTACATACATCTTTAGGATCATCATTACTTAATGAAACAACTTTATCTGCCCAAAATAAAGCAGCACTGTATAGATGCTGTAAATAAACCAGTAGTTAGTTTTTTCTAACAATTTCAAATAATTTAATATTTTTTGTAATGTGTGATGAATTGCTAAACTTTACCAAATCAATGTACGATTTAATTAATTTCCGACAATTATCTAAGTCAATATTTTTATTGTCTAACAAATTATGCATTTTCTCACAATCCACATTAATACTTTGACGCGCCATGTTTAATTTGAATTTTAAGGGTTAGGTATTTCCTTCCTAAAAGATCAACGCTTGTATTCCAAGATACGTTTTATTAATACTTCTAGGATACTTCTCTCATATAAAACTATTTATAATTAACTTATTAAATAAAGATCAAATTTCATTGCAGGTTAAATCATTGCATAAAATTCTTCTCTTGTGGTTAAAATAAATCATATTTTTAAAGTACACGATATAGTAACAATATTATTCGAAGAGGTACATAATTACAACACGTGCGTTGTCATTCAACAATGATTTGTACATAATTTTGTTAATGATGTTATTGGTCAAAACATAGGGACAATACACCTGGCGCTGTACAACAAAACATCGTTTTGCTTCAAAAATTTTCCGCATGCGGCATTGCGGTTCGCAATCAGGAATTTCGAATCTTCTTCCTTACTGCAAAAATTACGAACAGGGGTAGTAGAGGTAGAAGATGGCAAGAAACGAATGAATCGCGTGCTAATGCAAACGAAGCTAATCGAGTATCATTCGCGACGACCGTGTAACTCTCGGTATTGTCGACGTCCTCGAAATTTCGGTGACGATATATTATTTCGTTTGACGATGATGTGAGAAAACTTAATAAGACTTAAAGGGGGGTAAGAGTTCGGCGAACGGAACGGCCAAAAACTCTTGCAGGCGATGTCAAACATGCGGCGACGAATTTCGCAGAAAAGTTTACCGAACCGACGGCGTATTTTGGCCAAGATTTGTCAGTGAAACCAGTGCCAATGAGTGTGAATATATGGCGGCGCGAGTACTTTTACTGAGCATCTTGTTTACAGAAGTGCTAAAGCCCGCTTGTACCGCAGGTGCGTCTCTCTCCTCTCCTCCTATCTAATCTGTTTATATTCGCCAAACTGATACACGCTGGACCACGCGCTAACGTCTTTTCTTTTGTATTCTTATCGATGCTTACAATCTTGATACTTTCTTTTTTCTAAACCTACACTGTCAAGTGAAAATAAGAATTCCAAGTTGGATGTTTGAATATAGAGCATTCCAAGAAAAACAATTGTGCGTTTTAAATATTTTGTTTATATTACTATGACATGCGTAAAAATATATAATTCTTGGGTGAATGCATTAAAACATTCAAATATTTAAGTGATAAAAACACAATTGAATTATGACAAAGAAGATTCATTGAAATGATTGCAACTTTAGTTTGGTATAATTTTCCATGACCAATGTTTGCACAGTTTTAGTAATTATACATAATTACAATCCTGAATATGAGATTCTTTAATAATACCTGTATTTTATAAAACAAATCTTTTAATTTCTTATTAAAGATGTTATTTATATAATTACACTTGCATAGAAATAAACATTCATATAGAAATTTATGAAAAATTCATAAATGACAGTACACAATAATCTTTACATACCATTTTGTTTTTCATACCTTAGGTATCAAAGAAATTGGAACAGGTTTACATAACAAAAACGTATCAAAATCAGAAAGTTTCAACACTAGTCCAACCAAAGGTTCTGGCATAACATTGGAAATTCAACCTAGTGGTCATGTGATATTAGGAAAAAAAGGAATTACACTTAGTTGCATAGCTGGATCAAATCAAAATATATCTTGGTTATACAATGGAGTACCAGCACCACCATGTGGTATTGCACGTTGTACTCTTCTCAAAAATGGTTCTCTTCATTTACATAAGGTAGATTTGTAGAAATACTAGTATTACATAAGTATTGTACATGGTATTACATAAGTAATATTAGTTTATTATTTTGAAGTTAAATTAATTTGTCATTATTACAGATGGTGCAGAAATTTAAAGACAAAAACACTACTACAATTAACTTTAGAGATTATTACAAGGATGAATACCGTTGTGTAACACGTACTAATTTAGGACTTCTAAGATCATCTCCTACATTTATTCATATTGCAGGTAAGTTTCTTATTTAATATTTTGTCATTGAATTATTTGTTTTGAATTTAATATTAGAATTCACACATAATTACACTTATCTGTTGTAGAACTTGCCCATATATTTAAGGAGTCACCAGAAAATATAACTGCACAAGAGGGTGAAATAGCAAGGTTGTCTTGCTTAATAGATAGTGTTCCTTTTCCTCCTAATATCACATGGCAGCATAATGGAAAAGCATTGTTGCCCAATCAGAGTAATTTAAAGTAAGAGAGTTTTGAATAATATTTAGCAATTAAATAATTTGTTTTATTAATGAATAATATTTAATTTGCAGTAGTAAGTATATTATGGTACCACCAGGTGTTCTGTACATAAAAGCAACGAAATTATCAGATGCTGGTTCATATAGGTTTGTATATCAATAAATACAATGATTTGTGTCCATTAGAAAATAATTCGTAAATTCAAGTTATGAAAGTAAAATACATTGTATTATTTAATTTCACAGATGCATAGTAAATAATGAATTCCTAAGGAAAACCAAAAAAAGTAAAGAAGCAAAATTGACTGTTATTTCACGACCGGAGGGTAATGGATCACATATACCACCATTGTTATTTCCACAAGCATCATACAATCATTGGTTGCTAAATGGATTGAATCTTAGTTTAGCATGTGCTGCATCTGGGTATCCACCACCACTTATGATGTGGTCATTTATTCCTCGCTATACTGGTAATTTACATACATATGATTTTAATATTACTTATTTTGTACAATAATTTAACTGTGATATACTGTGTTGATTAATTTTTAGATAATCATATTGTTGCACAACCTCGCATTTTGCTTAATTCTAGTATTGGTATTAGTATATTGTCACTAGTAAATGTGAGTGCATTTGATGCAGGAGTTTATATATGTTCTACAAAAAATTTGATTACAAGTAATTCGGAGATTCAGGTTAGTTAATAACGGATATTACTGAGTATAGAAAATCGTCAATAATTTTAATCATGAAAAAAATTATTTTAGAATCTAACAGTGAATATATTAATTCCACCGTCATTTGTGAAGACACCTACAAATCAAGTATGTCCAAATGGAAGAACTGCAAGATTTGAATGTCAAGCACGAGGATTACCTGTGCCTAAAATATATTGGTTGAAAGATTCATTGAATATTACGATTAATGGTACAGTTACTTACATATTACAGTACCTATTTATGTTCCTTTCGCGTTGATTTGCTTATTTTATACATGTATAAATTTTGTGTATAAACATTTTTGCAGGACGTAGGACTATATATATAAAAGAATCTAATAAAATGGAACTGGCAATATCGGCAACAGTTCCGTCTGATTCTGGTATTTATCAATGTGTGGCTGTAAATTCAGCTGGAGAAACTTGGGCTGCAGGTCGGCTTCAAGTAAACACGTCTCGTAATAGTCCTGCTGCACCTACCTCTTTAAAATGTCATGCTCTGTCACCCGTTAAAATTTTTATTTCCTGGGAACCACCAAAGTCTCTACCACATAGCAGTATTAAAGCTTATACCGTCCATTATAGTCCCGTAGGTAAGTTCCTTAAGCAATTCAAAATTAATAAAAGTACCAATTGTAACTAGTCAAATATTGTATAATATTCTTTCTTTAAAATGTATTCATAAAGAAGGAGGCAAAGAAGAAGTTTCTCCACCTGAACCGGGTAATTCTACGTCAGTAGAAGTGACGAAGCTTCTTGAACCATATACTAATTATTCCTTCTACATACGAGTGTGGAACAATTATGGTCCTAGCGATCAATCAGCCACCATTTTGTGTTCTACTGCCCCAAGTGGTGTGTTATTTATTAATGTTTTTTTTTTTTTTTGTTAGTATAAACATAAAAACATGAAAAAAATATCATTTCATTATTTTTTTATTTAGTTCCTAAAGGTGCACCAAAAGTAAACGTGAATATACTTAGTAGTACAAAGTTAAATGTATCATGGGAACCATTATCTAAAAAGGAGTCTCGTGGTGTTGTGGTACAATACAAATTACAATGCAGACTGCATGAACATCCATCTTCTCGGGTTCTTCATTTACCCGCAAACTTGGAATCTTACGTATTTTCTGGTACGCGTGTAATTTTCTCACTTTAATATGCTTAACCAAATTTAATTTTATATTACTTGAAAATAATCTGATAATATTCCTGAAGATTTAATACCTGGAGCACAATACGATCTTCGAGTACTAGCAAAAACAAAACAAGGTTGGCCTAATATGAGCGAATTGCAATTAGAATGGACTACCATAACTATGCCATCTACTGAGTCCATTCAGTTTGTTATTAAAAATGTCGTGGATATACAAATATTAATAGTAAATGCTTCAATTGTAAAGGTTAGTACAAAAACGTTAAAACTATATATTATGCATTGTGTTAGATCTATGTAACAATATATTAAATTTTATTACATTAGGTGAACTGGAAAATAAATGTTAAAGAAAATGATAAAATTGAATCAGAATTTGATCTTTGGCAAATTTATTGTGCAAATCAAAGTGGACATAAATTAGCAACTATTTTTTTACCACAAAATGTTACCGAATATGTATTTACTAATCTTGGTAAGTATTCAGTCCAAACAAATACAATATCTTTTTGTGTCCTGCTTTCACGAAATTATAGATGTACTATTGTATATTTAAAAAAATGACCGAGATATTTTTTTATTTAGATGTAAATGTTTCTTATACAATAGGCTTATGTATGATAAGCTCTGGTGAAACAACAGGTTGTTTAACAAAACAGATAGAGACTATTCAACCTGATACAAGTAAGTACATAATAAATATAAACTTTATTACAATACAAATATGTTCATTTTTGGTATAATCAATGTTTTTGTTTATTCATCAGACAATGTACCAATGGCCCTGGAAGCAATTCCTGTTTCACCTACTGCTATAAATGTGACGTGGTCATTAAATGGCGTGCATGAAGTGAACTCTTTCGAATTATGTTATCATGCAATTCATGTCACAAATTTAGATGGTCCTAAATGTTTTATATTGTATGTGA